GATCGAGTGTGAAACTGCAGTGAAAGAAATCTTTAATAAAAATCTTAAAATATCAAGCGAAGTGGTTGTTGAAAGAGCCCATCGAATTGGCCCATTTAATAATAAAAAACCTAGAGTATTAAAACAATAGTATTAAAACTGTTAAATTTCCAGGATAAAAACAAAATATTTAATGCTGTAAAAAATCTTAAAGGAACTGGTGTGTATATTAACGAGGACTTTTCGCAAGAAACGGTTGAACAACGAAGGAAACTTTGGGAAGAGGTGAAACGACTTCGAAGTGAAGGTAAATACGCCATTTTAAAATATAATAAAATATTTAGTCGAAATTTTAAATAGTAGCGATGCGTATTTTTCTTAGTTTTTTTTTTCTTTCAAAGCGCTTTTAATTTCTCATTTTAAGCATAATGAATAACGAAACAATAGATTTTGAAACGCTGCACTTTAAAGTCTTCGAAACGGCAAATAATGTTATACCTCAACTCAACGTACTCAACGTTTGTCAACTCAACGGTACTCAACGATTTGAATGACGCAGATGCGCAGATTTTTCGCGGAATAAATTTTGGTTCTCAATATTTTGAAACAGAAACTTTTAAAACTGAACTTACAACTTTAAAGAATAAATTCACTGCATTACGCATAAATATAAGAAGCATAAGTAACAACATTGATAAGCTTAAGCAATTTCTAACCGAATGCAATTATTTATTCAGTATGATTTGTTTAACCGAGACATGGTGTTCTGACGAATCGTCCAGAATAAATTCAAACTTAGAAATTCCTAATTACAAATTAATATCTTCTGAAAGAAAAACTAACAAAAGGGGAGGGGGAATTATTAACTATATTCGAACTGATCAAGCCACCAAATATAGAGATGACCTTTCTACCTCAGATGCCGATAGTGAGGTCTTTCAATTGAGATAACAACAAATAACAAATCAAAAAACATATTAGTCTCTACATGTTATAGACCACCTGATGGTGATATAACAAAATTTTCTAATCATTTAAAACAAATTTTTAATAAAAATAACAGTGAACAAAAAAAACTATTTTGTATTGGAGACATTAACATTGATTGCTTACAATACGATAAACATGCCAAAACTAATTTTTTTTTTGACGAAATGCTCCAACATTACATCTTCCCAATTATTATTAACCCGACTCGTGTAACTCAATCATCAGTAACGTCAATAGACAATATATTAACAAATGCAGTTCTTGATGTTACTTTAAAAGCAGGTATTATAAAAACAGATATATCGGATCATTTTCCGATTTTCTTTTCTCTGTCACACGATACAAAAACTACTAACGACTGTAAAATTGAAATTCATAAAAGGAAAATTAACAAATATGCTATTCAACAATTTAAAGAATCACTATCGGCAATAAACTGGGATAAAGCATATCAAGAATGTAACCTTGGACGCACCAACTCTGCTTATACTAATTTTGAAAACATTTTCTTAAAAAACTATAATAAATATTTCCCAATAAAAGTAATGCTTGTAAAAGAAAAAACATCTAAAATGTCCGTGGATCACCAAAGGAATTAAAAAATCTTCCAAAAAAAAACAAAAAATTTATATCAAATACTTAAAAAATAGAAATGAAGCAAACCTAAATGCTTACAAACAATATAAAAATTTGTTTGAAAAAATCAAAAAGATTTCAAAAAAGAATTATTACTCAAATAAAATAAAAAACTCCAAAGGTGATATTAAAAAAACGTGGGACGTAATTAAAGAAATAATTGAGAACAAAAATTGCAAACCAAATAATTTACCTACTAAAGTTGTTATAAATAATGAAGAGTTTGTCAGTAGTGACGTAATCTCAGAAAAGTTTAACAATTTTTTCGTTAACATAGGCCCTAACCTGGCTACAAAAATTAATTGTCCAAGCAACTCATTTGAGACATACTTAACTAATAACAACAACGAATTAGCATTTAGCGAACTAAAAATTGAAGAACTTGAAGTTGCGATAAAATCTCTTAAAATAAATAAATCTCCAGGTATAGATGATATTTGTAGCAATATCGTTATCGATGTCTTTTTGGAGATACGCAAACCGATCTTCGAAATATTTAATTCATCAATTAAAACAGGTACTGTACCAGATAAATTGAAAACAGCTAATATTATACCAATTTTTAAAACAGGCGAAACATCTTTATTAAATAATTATAGACCGATCTCTATACTGCCTACTTTCTCTAAAATACTTGAAAGAATAGTTTACAATAGATTATACGAATATCTCCTTCAAAATAACCTCTTAAACAAAAAACAATTCGGGTTTCAAACAAAACACTCAACCGAACATGCCATTTTAGATCTTGTAAATAGCATGAGTAATTCTTTCGATAAAAAGCAATTTGTATTAGGGACTTTTATAGATTTATCTAAAGCGTTCGACACAGTTAATCACAATATCTTACTTAAAAAAATGGAAAGATATGGTGTTAAAAATATATCCCTTGGCTGGTTTAAAAGTTACCTGAGTAGCAGAAAACAATGCGTTGTTACAGATCATGATAAATTTTCAGACCTACTAGAAATAAAATGCGGAGTTCCCCAAGGTTCCATTCTGGGTCCCCTTTTATTTCTAATATATATCAACGATCTTCCAAAAGCCCTAAAAAAACTTGATGTAATAATGTTCGCTGATGATACAAATTTATTTTACTCATCGCCGTCTATAAGCGACCTTTACGAGTCTATGAACACTTACCTCGAAAACCTCAACATCTGGTTTAAAGTAAATAAATTATCTTTGAATACAGAAAAAACAAAATATATCTTGTTTCACTCCAACCGTCTTAAAAACTTTATACCAGGCACTCTACCTTCACTAAAAATTGATAACATAAACATCAAAAGAACTGAAATAACTAAGTTTCTTGGAATAATTATTGACCAGAACATTAATTGGAAAGCCCATATTAATACAATAAACACAAAAATATCAAAAAGTATCGGCGTACTCTACAAAGCCAAACCTATGCTTTCCCAAGACAACTTAAAAATTCTCTTTTCTTATATTCAAAGTTACCTAACATACGCTAATATTGCATGGGGAAGTACCCATAAAACTAAATTAAATTCACTCTACATACATCAGAAACATGCATCAAGATTAATTTATAATAAAGATAAATTCACTTGTGCCGACCCTTTACTTAAAAATTTGAATGCATTAAATATCTATCAAATAAATATTTACCAAAATATCTTATTCATGCTAAAATACAAACTCGGATTTGTTCCGAAATACTTTACTGATAGCTTTTTTCATATCAACGCAAACAAATATATCACACGAGGAACAGGCAACTTCACCTTGCCTTTAAAAAAAACAAAATTCTCGCAATTTTCTTTAATATACCGTGGCCCATACTTATATAACAAAATAATACTTCAAAATATGGAACTTAATAAAATGGATAACCTTATTGCTCTGAAAAAAAAACTAAAACATATCATAATTAACTTAACCAACTTCATCGAAATGTATTAAACAATTTGGGAAAAATAGTAATAAATAAAAGCCCTACTACTTCTACTATATAGTAGATACCAAAATACTTATGTATATTTGTTGAACTAGTTCATTAAAGTTTATTTTATGTTTTAAAGGTTCTCGATGAAAAGACTATTTTAGTCTTCTGTGAGTTTCCTTATAACAAAGAAAAATATTTTTTAAGAATAATTATATATATATATTCAACAACGTCCACAAGCAAGTCCCTAGTAGCCCTGTGGTACGACGGACTTGCATATATTTTTTAAATGCATGGGTTAATAGCCAGCACTTTATATTATAAACAACGAATAGTTACCTTATTTTGTACACTGTACAACGCGCATGCGCTGAACAGAATTTTGAATATTGTCTTGTAAAAATTTTAATGGTAAAATTTGTCTTGTAAAAATTTTAATGGTACAAAAATTGTTTAATTGTACGTTTTGTATTTATATGTAAAAATATGTAATTTTGTTTTATTGAAATATATTCGGATACTTGTGTTGTAAAAAAAAAAAAAAAAAAAAAAAAAAAAAAAAAAAAAAAAAAAAATCTGCTTTTAACATTTCTGTAAATTACTCAGAAGCTAAAAAAATTACCCATAGCAGAAGCTAAAAAGCATACCTTTTTTGTTTTGCGTTCTGACTTTAGCTCTAACTTCAAATATATATTGCAAATAATAATTATTCATTGGCTTTGAATTTTCACTGCATGCTTAGTTAAAAATTATCTTTGTCATTTACAAAAAACAAGTTTGAATAAATATTTTCTTAGAAGTGAGAAGTTTGACCCAGAAACTCTTTAATGACTTAAAAACTGTTTTATCACAAAACGTTGTCTATAAAATAATAAAAGACTTTTAAACGATTTTGTTACATGTACAACATACATACATTACAACAAGGAGTATTTGGGCTAAATTTGAAAGATTATTTTTAGTTTGTTTTTAAGTTATTAGGTTTAAAAGGTATACCAAAATTCCATCAAAGTTAAAGTATATATATATATATATATATATATATATATATATAGTATATATATATATATATATAAGGACTTGTTTTTTTGATTAAAGATTTAGTTTTATGGTATTAATACTTCAGAAGCAAAAATATATAACTTATTAGGTTTAGTAATTTGTATTTTTTATAGGAAACACCTTATATTATTGATTATTTTAATTATATCAAGGCCTCAATGAGTAATTTATAAACTCTTAATTATTAGTTATGATCATATTTTATAAATTTATCTTTTGAGACTAATTGTAGACGAGTATGAAGCTGAGACCTAAGCTTAGACTAAAGAAGTATATAAGAATATATAAGAAGTATAAACTAAAGAAGTTACTTTAGAATATTAAAAATTGTAGGTTCTTGTTATAATCACTGTGGCAAACATAAAGAAAATGAAACTTGACACCAAAAAAACTCCGCTCCCAAAGATTAATTGATAAAGCATTTGACTCAATGTGACTTTATTTTAACAAATTATTACAAAATAAATATAGAATAATTTAAAACTATATATTACTTTAATTAAACTTTATAATTTAATAAAATTCAGTTTAAAAAGTTAATGACCGCTGACGCAGTCAAAAGGTCGACCGCAGTTTAAAAGACCGCTGACACAGTTTAAAAGGTTAATCACCGCTGACGTAGTTAACGTAATAAATAATGATGAGCCTGATATAAAAAAAACTCAACTTTAACTAGAATTGAAAATAGGTAAAGATTTGAAAATACGAAGAAAAAAAACTTATAAAAAACTTGTAATTATAAAGGCAAAACACATAAAAGAAAAACATAAACAAAATAAAGACAGCAATATATAAAAAATTTGAAAAAATAAACTTTTTATGTTACAACTTTATGATCTAGTGAAAATCTAGATGCGAAATTAGTATCACCAAAGAGTTAACTCTGGCTCCTTCCATAAGCGGAATATCAAGTGAAATTAAACTCTGGGTTCTTCCACAAGCAAAATATCAGTTGGTTTACAAGCGAGATTAACCTGAAAAAATTATAGAAGAAAATTTTTGTAAGCGAATCTTTTAATATTTTTAAATTTTAATAAAGAAGTCAACAATCGACAATGTTTATTAGACAATAAGAACCTAATTATGATAAACAAAAAATCTTGTTATCAGTGAATTTAGATTTTCCAATTGTTTATTTAGAAACAAAGACACTTCCAGGTCTTTATTGTGTTTTTGTAACATATTTTAATATTTTACCTATTGTGCTTTAGAATTAACACAACATTATTGTATTAACACAACACTATTACAACACTAAGTGAATTAAATGTAACTCAATATTAAAGATTTTCCTCTATATAAGTTCTCACGTTTTAAAAGTAATATCTTACAACCTACCAATGGTCTCTATTTATATTATATATACATCTTCCAAGCTGTATTTAAAAATTGTAAATAAAACAAAAAACTTACATGCTCTTTAGCAATAGCAGTTTGTACGGCATCATGGACAGTAACAAAAATACTTGCCAATCCGTTTTCATTTATATAGCCGCCATTTTCTAGCGTTTCAAGCACATTACCTTTAAATAAAAAAAATTTTCACAAAATTTTCTTTAATATAAATTTAAAATAAGAATGACTTATTTTAAGCTTATACACACAATTTCATCTACACACAAAAAAAAAACTTTATTTATTTTTCAAATATGGTTGATTTGCAATCATATATGAGAAGCTCATTTGAAAAACACGCATAAATTAATAAACAAAACAAGAAACTTACAGCTAATAAAATATTAAGGCCAAGACTAATAATATATATCTTTTAACAGTATCTTTGTATAAACTGAACGTTTGAACAAGTTTTTAGAACACAAAAGACTGACTAACTAACCAGATAAACTTTAAGTCCGAGTAAATTGATTTTGATGACGAAAAATTGAACTACTCATAGTTAAGCATTAACAGAAATTAATTTTTTCTTTGTCTATTTTTTTCTTTGTCTATTTTTAGGAAAAAAAAACTTTTAAATGGTCTAATATTTAAATAGATAATAGATTTGAGTTTATATGTAGAATATCTAAAAAAGAAATTAACTCAAAATTTTTATTCTTATGACGCGTTTTGCAGATTAACTTTTCATATAACACATACAAGAAAGTTTTGATAGACAACAAATATTTTATTGTTTTGAAAGTAAAAGCTGTTAAACTGATTGATTCTGAATAGCAAGGTCACAGTCAAAGAAAGTCAAAAAAACTATGGGGCAGATAAATGCTAGTTTCTGACTTTTGTTTATAAAAACGAAATGTGATAAGAGACTTGACGTATAAAATGCAACGTTTCAGGAGTCTAGACTGTCTTTGTTTACAACCCTATTAAAAACAACCCCATTTAGTTGTCATATAGTAATAACAAACAATAGTTTAGATCACAATTATAAATTAATAAAGTTCTTTATATCAACAAAAAAAAAAGCTATATGTCACAAAACAAATACTGTATGATGTAACCTAGAAACCAAAGAAAATATGCCATTCCCAATACCGTTTTTGACACAATATAATAATAAAATTAATCATAATAGAAACAAGCAAACAGACAAACAAACACTAAAAAAAAATACCACTGTCTTTTCTACTAAAATTATATACTTTAGATTACTACTAATAACAGTTACAATGTGGTAATTTAAATTAGGAATCACAAAAATTGCCATCAATCGTAATTTGTCAGTAGACAGACAATCTTTTTATTAGGTGTTTAATGTTAAATTTAAAGTTAATTTTCTGCCAATGGTGTACTACAAACACTGAAATCTATGTCGTCAAGTTTTTTGACATAAAAATTTTTAAATACTACTCAAAAATTAAAAAACCTTTTTTTTTAAATAATCATAAAATTTTATAAATAAAATAAAATTTAAGTTAAGATAAACATGTATAATGGTAACATGTAACCCAGTGCAACATGTTCTATATTCTGCTACTTTGTGACATTCGTTTTCTTAGCAAAGACTGGAAGAAGTGTGCATTCTCTCATTAGTACTATTTAGTATCAGTCTGTAGTAATGTTTTTTTAATTATTTTTTATTCATTTATCTATTTTTTGTGTGTGACTTTTTATAGTTAGAAGTGCCTTAGTTACTATGTTAGCTCACCTGTAGCTTACTTTATATTTATGTTTGTGTTCCATCTAAACACCTGGCACAGTGTTAACTCACCTGTAAGTTGCTATCTGTATGTTTGTGTTCTGTCTAAATCACTGGCTCAGTGTTCACTCACCCCTTAGTTACGCTAAGTGTGCTTATGTTCTGTCTAAACATCTGACGTGGTGTTCATTCACTGGTAAGTTACTTTATGTATGTTTGTGTTCTGTCTGAACCTCTGGAGCGGTGTTGGTTCTTACATAAATTACTTTATATATGTATGTTTGTGCTTTGTCTATAATGTGATAATGGTTGAAAGTTGGGTGCAAGAGCAGGTCCAACTATGTTTAAGCACTTTTATATATCAGGCTATATCAAGTAGTGGAATCTAGAGATAAAATTGACGAAAAGTTCTTAGCAAACAATTCAGCTTTGTCTTTAGGTTAGGTGACAAAGTCTGAACCATACAAGAGAGGTGGAATTACAGATTTGCCCTTATTATTGATACTATGAAAGATTCTCCAGAAGTCACGAGAACCTAATTTTTGTGATAAAATACAAGATTCCATGACCTGAGAATAGCGGGCTTTGGCGTTAGACAAAACCTTTTTACAATGGTTCCTAGCAGTAATAAACAGATGTCTGTTTTCTGGAGAATTGTTTTGCTGATAGATATGGAAGTAACAGTTTCGATTAGAAATTGCAGCAGCACAATGTGAGAAAAACCACAGAGAAGAGTGAGGCTTGACCTGAAATTTTCAAGGGGGAGTAAAGTATTCCATGCCAGCCTGAATTCACGAAGTTATGTAAGAAACACATTTGCCAACAGGAAGACAAAAGATTTCTACCCAAGGGCCTTCACAAAGAAAATCACGGAAAGAGTGCCAGTCAGCTTTAAGGTAGTTGTAAGAGGTACGATGATAGGGGGATTTAAATGATGAAGAAGAATGAGATAATAGTTTTAGAGAGATCAAACTGTGATCAGAAGCCCCTAAAGGTGAATATGGAGAAACTGAGCACCAACTAGGATCAGAAACAAGACATAAGTTGAGTAGAGAAGGTAAATGATTTGGGTTGTCTGGAAAGCGGGTTGGAAAGTTGACTTTTGAGTTAGGGATTGAGAAAGGCAAATGTTGTGGGCCTTAATGCCTGCGGAGTCATTGACATCAGGAACACCATCCATGCGCAACATAGCACTGTTAATAATTTGATAATTTTCAGCTTTTGATGGAATCAGCCTCTCTGAGAGCTACCACAGAGTTCGGGAAACCTGACTACCAGCCGGTCTCAGAACCATAAAACTGAGTTTTAGAGCTGTACCCTCATTAGGAGATAAAAGAATGAGTTGCCTAGTCATAAAAAAGAGACACAAACAAACCTATGCATTGAGTCAAGAAGATCCAGCATTCAACATCCTAAAGTGGAAACAATGTATTAAAAATACATCTGCATCAGCTTAATAGATGAAGAAGGAGTGCGAGGCTGGTCAACAGATAGAATCTGTTTACCCCTTAAGTCTTTGCCTAGAAGGTTTTCTACAAGACAGTAGCCAGATGCATTCAACATTTACCCAAGATGAGTATTTTTATCGAGACACTATCTCTAGCCTTTACTTAACCAAGAGCCCCAAGGCAGGGAGTGTTTTAAGTCGGAGTTGGCATCTCCTAGCCTCTGCCTAAAAAGGCGTATCCTACAAGGCGACAGGACATGAACCAGATTGTACTGAGTTACATTGATAAAAAAAAAAAAAAAAAAAAAGTTGCATTTGCATATTTAAAAAAGCAGTGCAAAAGCTGCACAGGTTCAAAAACTAATTTATTTTTTAATCAGAATGTTTACTTTAAACTGGAAAGTAGTTTATAAAATAACCAAAATATTTTTTCAGTATTAAAAAAAGAAAAATATTTATTATTTTAGAACTCTTTTTTTCCTAAAAATCTATAAATAAAATTTTTTTTTAAAGAATCAAATGGAAAACTTGGAAATGAAAGTTAAATTTGCTTTACTAAACTCTAAGTAAAACATATTATTCAAAACAATAACGATATTAGCTGAAGGCCAACAATAACGATATTAGCTGAAGGATGAAGAAAAAGGGCTTGGTCAATTTGATCAGAAATATCATCAAAAAGAGAGCAGTCTTGAGATGTAGGAGAGCGATATAGAACAAAGAGAAAGCAATCAAAGTGAAGTGGTCCTAAACAAAGCCACATAAAAGAATAGTCTGTGGATTCAAACCTAGTTTCCCAACAAACGGATGAATTTTTATGAATGTAAATGCCCAGGCCAAGCATGTGACTATTGGAGTCTTTAGGAATTAAAGGAAGATA